TTAATTTTCTTTCTAGAATGTTTAATCTCAAATTCAGTTTCAATTTCAGAGTTCTTAAATTGTGTAAAATTTCAACACCTTTTTCTATGACCTCTTTGTTTGGAGACATATATAATAGTTGAATATATATGTGTGTACTCTCTTTTTTTCATGAAATCATTGAAATAGGATGATTTATGGAATAACTTAGAATATTTTTTTACGTTTATGCTCCCATGATTTTGAAGGCTTGGTTGGCTTCTCCGCATTCTTATTGCTTGAATAACACTGCTAGATGCTAGGAATACAGTTGTGAACCTGTGTCAGATAGCTTACAAGAGGGAGAAAGAAAAATAAACCCAAAAATTACCTTGCATGATAATTGCTGTGAAGGAAAATACAATCTGCTTGTTTGTTGAAGCAGATGGAATTTGATTTATGTGTAAACAATTAAAGAATTTTAACATATTGGAGAAGAAATTGACTCAATAAAGGAATCTCAGCTAGGACTACGTATAAGAATGACAGACTAAGTTAAAGAAGAGGTTGTACAAAATCAGCCAGCTGAGATTGAGGAGAGGGGTAAGAACAAATTATTGCTGAATCTGATATATCAACTGGTAAACTGATACATTTTATTGATTGGAAAAATTACTGATAAGATAACTATGTATATGTTACAATGTCAAAGGTTTCTTTGGTTTTATTTTTATGAGAAGAAGAATGAAAGACCTGTTCTTGCTGGTGACTTGAGAATAGTGTATTTAGGTAAAAGAAACCCTTAAGATGTTTAAAGTCCTGTAGAGTACACCTAAGGTGACTATTTTAGGCTGTGACTGGTCTTCATTTAACTACTAGTAAAATGGTCAGATTTCTGGAAAATTTCTGGTCTGATTAAAGTCTTTAAAATCTTAAGCTGTCATCAGCCTTGGCAAAGTGTTGCAGAAACATTGCAGAGATATTGGTGATGTTTACTGAGAAGACTCCAAGAAAACAGGTGGTTGTTCTATGTATGTTTGAAATTCTAGAGGCAGCCAAGTAATGATTAGTTAAATAAGCAAAGTATTTGGCTGTATTCATAATTTTGTTTTTCATAGTTAACATTTGGTAATTGAATCTTCTGGCCCTCAAAGATATTAGACATGATATTATTTTACTATATTTCTATTTTTAAGAAGGAAAATCTGAAATTAGTTAATATGTGAATTTTGGAAGAAATTTATTATCCTGGTTTCAGATTACTACCAGGGAACATCACTATCTAACAGCTATTATATCAAATTGCAGATAATGGTTCCTAAAGGACTGCATAAAATTGGTCCAGGAAGTTTCACCTACTTCACTGTCAAAAAACTCTCAGAGTGTGATATAGAGGAACCTTAGTTATAATTTTAATGATAAGTGCCTACCTTCTGTACCATTTCATCCCTCTATAATCTTTAAAACAAAAATAGTCTCTTTTTATAAATAAATTTAGTTAGTATAATCATTTGTGCATTTCTGATTACTGACTTAAGTTAATAACTCTTAGAATGAAGCTGAAAGATACCTAAAGTCAATTAGGAACTTTTATTTATTTTTTCTTGCTTTTTTTGAGTTTTGAATGAGAGGGTTGAAATAGATGTCCTCTATGGACATTTCCATGTTAAGACTTACCAGAGCCTGAAGCGACGCCTCCTTTTGCCTCTCGCTGCAGCACTTGTCTTACGGCAACGGCAGCTTGCACGTGGACGCCGCTTTCCAGCAGACCCTCTGGAGCGTGGCCCCAATCAGCTCAGGAAGTGAAGCAGCCCAAGGTAAAAACTCCACTTCCCTTAGAGGGCTCGTCCTCGATGCAAAGTTGACAATCATCTTTGGAATTGCGATAATGAGCTGATTATTAATTAGAGCTTTTTTCATGTCAAAATATTCTGCAGTGCAGATACATGACATTTGAGAATCTGGTTTCCCAATTGCTATTTAAAAGTGAAGCTTGTGTTAAGATTTATCTTTCCCTACTATTGTATTGATGTCAGTTTTCACTTATTTGTGTGTGTTTTGTGTGCTAGCTTTGTAGGGGTTGTTTTCTCTGATTTTTTTTTTTTTTTTTTTGACCTGAGAGTTTTGCTCAGTTAGGCTAATGTCAGTATTTCTCATTGTCTGGGGTTGTGTCTTCTGGCTTGATCACAACGATGTCTATGCAGCAGGACTTTTCAGGGCAAGTATCTGTGTATGTTCTGGTTATTCTCACTTATGTAGGTTCCAGTCTGATCCTGTACATGTTTGTGTGTTCAGTGGAGGATTTTATGTGGTTGAGGTCGTGTATTTTAGTGGGAATATCCCTAACTGTGGGACCCAAGAGCCTGGGACTCAGAGGGGCAGCAGGCACCATCTATCTCTGTGACTGTGGCGAGGTGCGTAAGCCTCCTTAGACTTCTTTTACTCTGTCTGTGGAAGCAGAAGATTGGACCATGTGGTCTGCCTGGCTGCCAGCATCTGGCCATGACATTCCAAACGTTCATGATTTTTTAATCCTTACAGGGTATCTGATTGGCGGGGATGTCCTCAGGTTGCTACATGGACACATGGATGAATGTCTCACCGTCCCTTCAGGAGAACATGGTGAAGAGCAGCGGAGGTTGGTACCTGAGCCCAGCCTGTTGAGACTGGCACTTTTTCCCCTTGATTTAATTTTTTTTGAAAGTTAAGGATATATCTGTTCAGGCCATTAGCATAATACAAGATGGGCCACTGATGTTTATCTGTCCACTGAAGTCATCTTTTTATGAGCCTCTGTAGAAGTTTTTTCTCATGTTCTATTTTTATTACCTATCAATAGAAGAGCTCAAAATTTTTGTATGATTAAAACACATTAAGAAGCATTAAATGAAACAAACGAAGTGAGAGGAGTAAACATATCACATAAGTAAATGACTTAGGACTTCATTAAATGTTCATTAGTTTTAATTAATTTTCTTTCTAGAATGTTTAATCTCAAATTCAGTTTCAATTTCAGAGTTCTTAAATTGTGTAAAATTTCAACACCTTTTTCTATGACCTCTCATTTATTAACATAGATGACAAAATTGACCACTTGTCTTCATATTTTATGTGATATAACTCTCATGTTACTTTATTTGGCATTGGGACAAGATTAAAATAGTCTGAATCCACTATTCAGAAAGTAGGAAAAGTACACAAATATCACAAAACCGTAAGAACATTTAGAATGATTTGGTTGTTATCGTTTAGCCTCATGAATTAGTCAATGAACATAGAAGACGAATACATAAATAAGAGAGTACAGTGAGAGAAGGCATTGTCCAGATGGTTTGTTATGTGTCTTTAAATCTTTTGGTGGGCATTTCTCATAATAATAACAAGGACATTTAGGGTAATGTTATTTGATACATATTTATTGTAATTTAATAAAAAGAGGAACATTCAGAAAATTAATAATCATTTAACTAGCTATATCACCTAGGGCAGACCTCCCTGAGACCTGGGTACTGGGTCTTTCTGTTACCAGGCAGATCTGGTTTGTGGTGAAGAGTGACACGCAGGCCCTGGAAACATGCCCTAAGCTGAAAATGCTGCTTTGGGTAGGTTAGGAAGAAGATGATGGTGTTAGCAGGGCTTATGTAAAAGATAAGGGGGATTTTAAAAGGCAGTTGGTTCAAGGAATTCATTTGAAACAGAAGGATAAACATAAGAGCCGGAGGGATGACAGTATATTCTGAGAATAGCTGTCATTCCAGGGTGACCAGGAGGAAAATGGAGGCAAGAGGGTGGTTTGGTCAGCTTTGGAAGGGTCCTCACCGCCATTGCCTTGGGCCGGCTTTTCCCCTGAGGTGGTTAGGAAGGGATGGGGGGAGTCGAGTGGAATGTGCAGATGTCTTTCAAAAGAATAACTCTGATAGGCAAGAGGGGTTTAGATTAGAGGCGGGGAGGGTCTGAGTCAGGTAAACCAATTGTAGTAATTCATGTGACAGAAGATGAGAACCTCAACCCAGAGAGTGCCGTCAGAATGGACAGCAGTACCTGAACCAGAGGTATTTTAGGTAAAATCTGAGAGTTTGGGCACGAACTAGTTGTGAGATGTGAGAGAGTGCATCAAATCCAGAGCAGTCTGATGCTTCTGACTCGGTGGGGAGGTAGATGGTGCTAAGGGTTGCAGGAGATGGTGCATATTTGGTATGAAAGATGGAGCTAAACGTGGGTACAGATGAGTACAGAGGGTCTATGGGGCAAGTAGGAAATTGGGATTTCTGAGTATTTAACTTAGAAAAAATCTTGAGTTGGATATAAATGAAAAGTGCATGCGGGATATTTGAAGGAATGGGTTTCCGTCATGTTCACTCAGATGGAGAGAGAGGAGCTGTGATTAGAGGGATGCGTTTACCAATCTGGGCATCGCTTTTAAAAGTCTGTGAAGCCCTGGAATAGACTAACCAGACAGCTGAGGATAGATTCTGATAGAACACGGATATATAGGATGTGGGCAGAGGAAGAAGCGTCAGCAAGAGTCAGAATGTTAGTTCAGTGCAGAACCAGGGAAGTTAGTGATGGCAGCCAAAGGACTGGGGTGTGAATGTGTTAAATGCCGTGATATACTCATGAAGTTAGGGGTTGCAGGAGGCCGTGCCGGAGTCTTTGGGGTCTTCAGTCCCTGAGTTGTTAAATGAAGACTTAGGCCAAGTGATTCTAGAGCTCTCTTTGCTCTATCTACAGACATTGTAGGGATTTGTGATTAAGGGACTCTAGAACTAGACAGACCTGGGTTTGGGGCTTTGCTCTGCCACTTACGAGTTGTGTAACTAGTGCTGGTGACATAATTTCTTTAAACATTGGTTTTCTCCTCTGTAAAATGCAGCTTAAATATTATCTCCTACTTCACAGGGCTGTTATAGACGCTAAATAAGAAACTGCATGTAAAATACCTGACACATATTAAGAGTTCAATAAATTTATTGTTGACATTATTATTATCCTTAATATTTAGACTGAAGAGGCAGTGTTTAGCCAGATATGATGGCAAAGTTTGAGGGGCCCTGGGCATGTACATGACAGCATGGTAGAGCATAAACTTTGTAGGAGAGAGCCCAAACTAGATCAAAGAAGATCCTTTAGATAGATGGTAATTATTGCATAGAAAACTAGGGGAAATTTCAAAGATATCTTAGTATTGTTCCAGACTGACTTTCTTACTGCGTACATGTTGAAGCCTGCCCCTCCTGTCCAAGTACTATTCTTGATTTAATGTTAACATATCAGGACTCTTTCTAGGTAGTGATGGCAGTAAGAACACAATCTGTTAGTGTCCCTTTCTATAGCCAGTTTACATGGTTGAAATTAAATTAAAATGGATGTCAGATCATTACCTGAGGGAGAAAATGAGTCACAAATAGGTTGCCTAGAGGATGGGGGATGTTGCTTAAGAAAGAAGAGTTATATTTGTTTTGATTATAGTGGGATTGAGCAATTATTTGCATATAATGATAAAAATAATTTCTTTATTTTGAAGTTCATAGAACACTTTATTATTTCAAATCTTGTTAATATCATCGTGTAGAAATTCTTTTAACCTCCCTCTGTTCTCTCCCTAAGTCATTGCTGGTGCCTTGGGGAACTAGGGTATGCAAGGACAGCTCAGCCCAGCGGCAAAATTTCTTTATTTGATATCAATCTGTATTGGAGTAGAAATGAATAATGAAGACCTAAAATATACTTATTTTGATTCATTAAAAAATAAGTAAAAGATAATTTGATTTGCAGACAGTGATTTGAAAGCTAGAGAAGTTCCAGAGAAATATGTAAATTTTTCTTTTATTTCATAGTTCTTTGCTGTAATTATGATCTGATTATAGTCATTAATTATATCTTGTTATTAAAGTTCAATAACTAAAGTCAAATCTGTTTTGTTATAAGAAGTAGTGGAAATGATTAAGAAGATGGCCAGAAGAGACATTTATTTTTGGGTAATTTAGGAATATTTTGGCCATAAATGCTGTGTTCCTAAATAGATTTGTCCATCTGCCCATGCCTGGTTCCATTTGCAGTTAGTGAATGTACATAACTATAATTGTAGCTATTGCAAATGCAGTTCAATGATGGGTTCTGTAATTCTGGATAGCAACAGAGTTATCTTTAACTTCGTTTTCACAGTTAGGCATGTTTGTATATGTGGTTAACTATTGATTCTCAAAAAGAATGTTGATAAAACTCTTAGAATCAAGAGCATATAGAGCTATTAAGTAGAACTGAACTGGAAAATTAGACCTATCAAAGTTAAACTAAATATACATATTTTCCAATACTTCCTGCCCATATTACTTTCGTGTATTGAATTCTGACATATTTGTGAAATATAGCATCACTATTGTTTTAAGTTGCTTGAGATTTTTCCAGGGAGATATACATCTCTAAAATGATTGGTATACAATTTGTCTAAACAACAGTAAAAATAACAAAAATATAATCTATGGTAGTTGTGAGTAGTCAGGTACAAGGAGTAGATCCCTTAAGTATTAGTATTAACTGTGTGTCATAATTTTTTAGTTCTTAGACTTTTAAAATAGCGAGATAGAATAAGTTAAGGAGAAACAGGTTCTAGTAGTTGGCAAGGGATTTGTCAGATGCAACATAATGTATTAATTATTGCTTTAAAAATAGACTTTCATTCTGGAAGCTTGAAATTTGATTACCAAATTGTATTTCAAGCCTGAACTATTTTATGTGGAGAATATTTTTTCTTGTAGATTTTTGTGTCTGGATTGCATCTCATTCATTATTCCATCCATAATTTTGTGTGAACATAATACAGTAGCGACAAAGGCATTTACTTTATGTGCATGCACACTTATTATATTTATGCACTAAATATGTACTATATGAATTAAGTATGCCATGCTTTTACATTAATACATTTTCAAATAGATAAATTAGGGGAATATTATTTGAGATTTGTGATTTGGAAATGAATATCAGGAAACATTGTTTGAAAAGCATTATTTGTATGTTCGAAACAGGTTTGCTGCATCACAAGTAGTTTCATTCCTTCAATTTGTGGAACGACTATTACGTTCTGGGTGCCGGGGCTATAGTAGTATACAAAAAAGATACGAAGTCTCTTTTCTCAAGAAGTTTACATTCCAGTGGGGGATATATAACAATAAAATATAAATATGTTTGTTTATAAATGCATACACATACTTGTGTATCAGAGATAAGATGCATTAGGTGATGGCGGAAAAAAATAAAGCAAGGTAAGGAATGCAGAGTGTTTATGTGTGTTTTATGTTTTGTGTGTATATGAGAGAGAAAGAGAGAGGAGAGGGAGGGGAGAGGTTGGGGCAAGGAGAGAAAGGTGTTTCTTTTTCCATATTATCAACATTACTCTTGGTGAATATTTGCTCTGACTTGTTACTTTCAGATACAGGGCAATTAAGTTAAAGTTTCTGACTATATCTGGAAATAAATGAAACATTTGCTTTCTAGAATGTAACTCAACAGGCAAAAGCTATCCTGTATGTTTGCAGGACAATATTTTTAACTCTGTGCCCCTTTTAATATATGATTTAATGAGCTTTAGTTGTAAATAATTGATAAGACATGAGACAGATTTAATATAATGAGTTA